CTAAAGATGTCGACGTTAAAGTTATGATAGCAAGGAAATATTTAAATAGAGCTACTTTGCTGCAGAACATAATCTTAAACTCATTTTGAAGAGAGCAAGCTTTTCAGCTTCAAGAGATTTCAGATATCTCTTGAAGGTCAAAAGATAACTTCACTAAATTAGTAAATATACTCTCAGGGATTTATAATAGGGAGAAACAAATGTTAGGATGAATTATTTGTTTTGAAAATAAAACGGCATCGGAAACCGCTGCATTAGACTAGAAATACTATTTTGGTTGTTGGCAATTTTCCCTATTTAAAATTGAATGAGTCTAAACAACTTAAAGGTGTTTATGTTGAGCCTTTGTCATAATCATCATATAACTTGTGAATTACATCAACCAATTGACACATTAGCAGGAGGCTAGTTATAATATTAACAATAATATTTTGACTCGCCTAGGTAAAAAAAAAATCTAATAAATTGTTTCAGCTTATTACAGTATGAGACGAAGAGCTTCTGGTTTGATGGAGAAATACCAACCATGTCGAGGTGTTCCCACTCGTTGTTTTCTGCTGTTGGTTTGGATTTCATGTCGTCCTTCCCCTCTTTTTCCTGAGCTTTCCTTTGCTCTCCCTCCTCCTCATTCTCCTTGTCTGAGCTCAGAGCTGGATGACCAACAACCTGAGTCAAACTTTCCTCTGACTCTTCTTCAGTTTTTGCCTCATCTTCCTGGACCTCTTCTAAAATCCTCTTTTCTCCTGCTGAATCATTTGCATCCTCCTGCTTAAATTCCTCCTCGGACACCTCAATGAAGCTCTCTGTGAAACACAACCATTTTACATTTGAATGATAAAACAAACAGTTGAGTCTAAAAATTATTGGAGTTTTACCTTCTGAGTCGCTTTCCTGCTGGCTGTTCTCTGACTTGATGTCGTCTCCGTCAGTTTTTGCCAGGCCAGCGGTGAGTCCATCCTTGCTCTTATCTGGGAGTCTCTGCTCTGTCTCTGTGCTGGCCTGTTTTCCACTTGGAAGCGAAGGAGAGCTGATGGATAACTCCTGACTGGATTGAGAAGCGTGCAGCTTGTGCTCAGGTTCTCTCGGCTCCAGCTCTTTTTGTTTCTCCGCTTCCCGGACGCGCTCCACCTCTGACTCCGTTGCTGTTGTGGGACTTTTTTGAAGCGCCGCAGAGCGAAAAGCTTTATTTCTCTCTCCAATCACTTCCTCCAGCTCATCTCCAGAGCTACTGCCCAGCAAACTGTCTTCGATGTGTGAACTTTGGCGTGTGGCGCTTTGACTGAAGTCTGACTCTTCCTTAAGGGAAGGCTTTGTCTCCTCATCAGAGCTACTGATTACCACTCGCCGCACAGGACACTGGGGACTTGTCTGCCGTTTGGACGGTGAGACACTTACTTCATCCTCAGTTAATGCCTGCTGGATTGCGAGGAGTGTCCGTGGAGACACTTTGCCATCCTTGCTATCTGGATTCAGCTTCTCTTCGTCTGAGCTGTCACTCATAGCAGCCTGGATTGCCTTGAGTGTCCGAGGCGAAGGCGGAGACGTGTCTAGCTGGGATGGTTTTGACACAGGCGGGTTGACGGTGTCTGAGCAGGTAGGTCGTACATCCTCTTCTTCGTCGTTGTCTTCTTCAGTGATGGGTCGCCAGAGAGGCTCGGGTTTGTCAGCTTTCCTTTTTCTAGAACTTGTCCAGGGTGCAGCTGCAGGTTGGCTCTGTGAGGCTGTTTCATTTTTTTTGGAACCTATAGGTGAAGAGAGTAAAGAGTTGATTTTTACAGAAATTAAAAGACATAAGCCCGTTTTGCTTCACTCAACATCAGTACAACATTAGTACAGTGTAGTAGACAGAATAATGATCTCTTGATTATTTTTTCGATTAACCAATTAATAATTGGAAAGCAAAAGGTACCAAATAGGAGAATTTTACAGAATCTCAACCAGCTGAATCTAAAACTTTAACACTTGAGGAGTTCTGGGTAGAAAATATTTACAGACAAAGAATTGTTTTTATATTAAAGGCAACATTTTTTAAGAGTTTTGGCTTCATTTCTACTCAGAGAATGCTGTGTTTTTTACAGAAAATTTTATATTTTATTTAGTATATGCCAATTAGCAATTGATCAATTACTAAACTAATTAACAATTATGTCAATAATTGATTGAACACGATTAATTGTATCAGTTCTATGGGAAAGTACAACAGTTATATCTAAGTAAATCTAAAACTGGCCATGGAGCCAATAAAATTTACAGATTTAGACCCTGATCCTTAAAAGAAATTTAAATGTGAGCTAATATATATATATATATATATATATATATATATATATCTATATATATATATATATATAGATATATATATATATATATATATATATATATATATATATATATATATATATATATAAATTAAAGACATACTTCCATCTAGAATCAGGTATTGTGCATAAGTATTATTAACATAATGCTACATCTGCCTCACCTTTTATAAGTATATAGTGCGAGTTGTCTTCTGAAACCAGCCGCTTTGACTCCACGCTGCGATTCTGCTGATCCTCATCCTGCTGACCGAGTTGTGGAGCGCTGCCGGCACTGCACTGGCTCATCTCCTTCTCAACTCCCTCCAGACGCTGGTTCAGCCGGTTCCTCTGCAGCAGGCCAGCCAGTTGGTACTGCGAAAAGTCTCCGGAACGCTAGAAGAGAAGGAAAATACAAAGGAGTTAGTAGTGGAAAGAATAGAGGAGACTGGAGTGTATTTGAGGCTTAGATGTACCTCAGGAGGTTTGTTAAACATGGTCCGACGTCTTTTGCAAAATTCTTTCATCTCTTTGAGTATCTCGTGTTTCATCTCAGGAGGCAGGGCGGTAAAATCCTCTGAGTTTATGTCCACAGAGTTTGGGTTCTCATACAGTTCTTCCTGAAACAAAATTAGGAATCTGGCTTTGAAGGTGAATTGTCAAAGAAAAAAAGTTTGACATTTATTTGGGAGGAGACATGCAAAACAGAAAGAAAAGGTAGCCAGAATACATTTTGGAACGACTTCGCTCAGTAATGTTTAACAGTCAGACACTCACTTAAAAAGACCCCAAGAAATTAAAATAGAAAACTCTTTATTAATCGTATTGTAATGTAAAAATATTGTAATTTGGATTAGAATAATCTGTACACGAAGGCCGCTGGATAGACTGAAATAAATTGGATTCATTTGAAGTTAACTGAACTTATTTCTGTAGCAAAGTACCTCGAGATTTAAATCTGAATACGTTTTGTGTTTATTAATGCCTTTATTTTTACCTGGTATGTTTCGACCATTTCGTCACTGTCTTTCCCCTCCTCATCCTCTTCTGAGCTGCAAGGAGAAAAAACAAATCATCTGTCATGACTACATATTACTATCTACACCAAAGTATACATTTATGACAGTGTTGTTTTTGATTGAAAGCTAATTAGGATATTTTTTTTAAATGACACCAGTAATTATTTAACCATATTCAATTAATTTGTCCTTTTGTTTCTAAATCCAAAAGCACTCTTCAGTAGTCAGTTCTTCTAAAGTAATACGTTGCATGTTATTTACTTTCTCATACACTCAGTACCTTGGTGTATTTATACTTAGGTTAAATTACATACCAGATAAGAAATGCTAATTAGATGACTACTTACGCAGCTGGTTCCTCTCCATTTTCTTTAAGGGTTTCAGAGTAAAGTGGCTCCTGTTTAGATTGCTATTTTTCTAACACCAAACAACAATTCACAAAGTGTCCGTTGATCACATCAAACCCCAATAAATTAATCATAAATTAAGCAAATGTTGAGGGTGCAATAAATCATTTAACCAGACAGCAATAACACTTCTTGACTCTGACCTGCTTCTTTCCTTTTCCTCTGTGGGTGGAAGGGCGGGTAGGACATACATGTCGTCCACTTCACTTCTTTTCACGCTGGAGAGGCTTGGTAGAGGGTCCTTACTGTGGAATATTTCAGACAAAAATGTAAAGAATATAGCAGATAGAGCATGTACAAAATGCCACCATTCTGCCTCCTCCTGCTCACCTATGATCTCCAAGTGCAGCTTTGATAGCTTGTCTCTTCAGGAAGGTCTTCAGAAGTTTCTCATTGGTCTGTTTGGACTGAGTGGTCACCTCCTCTTTCCTCTGCCTCCTCAGAGCCTGCAAGAGAAGGGTGTTTGTAAACGGAAAGTTCGGTGTCGGCATTTATTACACCCACAACAGTGATCCTCTGGGATGGTCTCACCAGGGTCTGCTTCTTCAGCAAGGGAGCATCTCCGTCGAACACAAACACCGGTCTAATGCGAAAGAACAGCAGCTTGCAGATGCGGTTGAACAGAGTGAGGAGGTGGGCGTTCTGGACGCTGTTGCCTTCACGGTCTCTCACCCCCTTCACTGCCTGGTTCAGCCATATACTGATGTCTGAGGAGCGCTGGTTAAGGTTATCTTTATGACGCATGAGTCGGAATCGATAAATGCGTTTCATAGATGAAAGAAAAAAACATCTAAAAAACTAGGAAGAATAAACAGATCAAATTAAAGGTTAGGATACCAACAGCGAGAATCTTTCCTTCCAGTGTCTCGGGGTTGATGGGTTTGCCTGTACTCTCCAGGAGTCTCCAAAGTCCGTGCACTCCCATGACAGCAACTCAAGGCACACACCCTGCCAAAGTAAAGTGCAGAAGGGTGGACTTACCAAGACTTCTGGCAATTTTAACAATGGAATAAGACAAATGGAGCCAAAGTGTTTTTGCAGCATTTCTGAACTCCGTACTGCAACTCCGAGAAGACACGAAGGTTCCGCTGTTCAGCAACGCGGAGTAATTCGTCAGGTTATCTGCTACTGCGCTGCCTTATTTAGTAAATAAAGCAAATTTGTGATCGGGGTAAAAATTTACTTTCGCGTTATAATTTTTTTTCTAAAAATTGATCGAGAGAAACTTCCTTTAATCCAGTTTTATTTAGATAAAAAAATTGTTTTGACAGGAAGTTTTGCCTGGAAGTTCAATCACGGGGAAGAAAACACTACGTGCGCTCACGACAGACCAACCGTGTCCGGTTGGCAAAACAAACAGCTGACACGACTTAGAACCGAGGAGGAGGTCAAATTCATTTTTACCTGGTATGTTAGTACATAATATTTCCACTTTAAGGCTTAGGATTTAAGTCGCAGTAAACATTTCTGATAAATTCTCTCAGTAAAGAAGAGCTGACTGCTGTAGCTCGTGCTGATGAAGTTCTTACTTTTGCTAACACCTAGCTCAACGACTAGCTTCCCTTAATATGTAACCTTATCAGCACCAAGCTGATAAAAGGTGAACTATGAGCAACGCATTTCTTTCATAAACAAATAGTGCTGTAATTGTTGCCAAATAATGCCGTCTTTCCTGTGAATTACGACAGAATTACCCGGTTTAAGCTAAAGCTGCGTCTCCTCCGCCGCCATGGCTGCTGCAGCAGTTGTAAGAGGTACGTAGCATGTTCGTTTATCCTCTTTTTTTAAATAAAACTGCATCATCCATGCTTGATCTATTGTTCAAGCATTAGCTGTATGGATGTAAAACATCTTATGTTTTTTTAAACAGGTTCCTGAAAACTATAGTTGTGTACGTCAATTAATGTTAATTCAATTTTTAACAGTAACCAGGGCCCTTTGTGTTGCCTTCATTGGTATAAAGTCCCACTGTTTGTCCTGTTACGTGCCTAAGAGTGACGTACGTTGCAAATTGTTGCAGGTTAAGTACATTTAGCTGAATATATCTGCTTCACACAATATTGGAAATTATGTTGATGCATTGTAATAGGATTGCAACATATATTTTAAAATTGATCTTAAAATGGATTTCGGTCTTGAGAAGAAAACAAGAACGTGTAGTAGAAAATAGTAAAATAATAGTAATCAGAATACATTGTGATAGTTTACAGACCCGATAGCCCAGGTTATTCTGAAAAGGCATTAAGACAGGACACTGCATTGGACAGATCAATAAACATATTTGATTTTTAGGCAGAAGTGTTTAAAAATAACTGCTCTTACTTTTCTTATTGTTTTCTTCTAGGTTCTGCCACTGTGCCTATTCGAGGACCCGGTGATGGCATGGAAACTGAAAAACCACCAGTCACACTGGAGGTCATCACTGACGCCCCGCCACCGTTTTTATCTGAAGTTCCTCTCCTTAAAGCAGCAAACCCAAAGCACAGCCCAAAATCTCCACATGTCACCCCCCCTGTTACCCCACAGCTTCTCGGCGTGCTTCACCTAGGCAAAGTGAATAGAGAAGCGTGTACAGAAGTGGAAGCCGTGAGGATTATTGTGCCCAGAGCTGCTATCACCCGGAGTAGCCGGGCGGGACCCCCTGAGGGGAAAGGCGAGGCCGGGCAGCAGGCCGAGGAGCAGGGCTCTCCTCCGCTTGTGGAGGACTGGAGAGGACAGCTGGAGAAGCTACAGAACTCTGAACGCCGGCTCCTGCAAGACAAAGAGGGCCTTTCCAATCAACTCCGTGTGCAGACAGAGGTAAGGCACGAGCAAAATGAAATTCACAGATTTCAGTGTAAAAACAATCTGCAGAGAGTAATTATATTACATAATAGTTATCTGAAATGTTGATTCCTTTTAGTTATTGTATCTTACATATCAGAGTTTATGTATAATTTGAGTATAAAACTACTTTACATTTATTGTAATCTTGTTTCTAAACTGTGGCAGGTAAACCGCGAACTGAAGAAGCTGTTGGTAGCCTCGATAGGCGATGACCTCGAGTACCAGTTTGAACGTCTTGCACGAGAGAAAAACCAGCTCATTCTGGAGAACGAGGCTTTAGGCCGAAGCCTTTCACACACAGCGGAGCAGCTGGAACGTATGAGTATCCAGTGTGACGTCTGGAGGAGCAAATTCCTCGCCAGCAGGTGGGAAATGCTCCACTTAATTTTGTCTTCATTTTAATTGGTTGAAAAGTTTAAGATCATCTTCTTAGTTTCAAAGGGAGTGACATTTACAATCAAAAGAAGGATGCTTTCAGTTTAAAAAACCATGCTTCATAAACACAACATAACCGTCACGTTGACATGTATTAAAAAACTGTTGTTACTTCAGAGTCATGGCAGAGGAACTGACAAATGCCAGAGCTGCTCTGCAGAGGCAGATCAGAGAGGCCCAAGGAGCGATTCAAGACCTGCTGTTGGAGCGAGAGGAGTTCTCCAGGGACATGGTGCTCAGTCACAGGTAACACCACACTGATCAATAATTACCGACTCCTCTCAAATGTTCAAGTTGAGTCTAAGAAGCACTCAGATTCTGTTAAAGTGGGTCAGTCCTACATGCTAATTAGAATGTTTGACAAAAGCATCCAACACTCCAAAACCTACCCTAATTGTGATAACAGTGGGTTTCCTCCTATTAGGTTGTCTTATATAAAAGTTAGTGACTACTTTTCTGTAGAAATTATATTCTTTACCTAGTGAGGCTCCCCAAGGTTCAATGCCTGGTGTTTTGTAATTCTGTTGTACTATTGATTGAACTAGACAAAAATGTTCATGTGTTTTTGTATGGACTTTTTATGTGTTGTTTTCTAGACTAGAAAGTGCATCAGAGAAGCTTGTACAAACGCTTCAGCTTGGATATTAAAGCTCTTAAAACAACTCCTGTTTAATATTCATAGCGTTTTGTTCCTATGGCATTTGGACTGATTTTAAAGTATTACAGTATCAAAGTATATGCTGGCAGTCAGATGCCAGATGCATATTTAAAATTTGTTTCGCTTCATTCTTGAAATTAAAACTTCTTTTTTTTCTTTTCATATGCATGTTAGTTTCATGTCTTTAATGCTTTTTGTGTCCCTGTAATAATTTTGTTCAGCTCTTTGACTACATCTGTTTCTGTTTTTCGAATAACTGATTCATTCAGCCTTGCTTCTTGTTGCATTGGTTCCTTTTGGAAGTGTTTTACTCAAAAACAAGAGATTTAGATACTAGATTTAGATACATTTAGATACATACTAGATATGTTTTGAAATGATTGTGGAGCTGTTACATTGTCTTTGTGTTGCCAGGTCCCTGGAACAGCTCCTAGTGTCTTTGCAGTGGGGCAGACAGCAGACTTATTATCCCAGTGCTCAGCCTCTCAGCATCGGAGAGCTGGCTGCAGCCAATCACAAGCTAGCAGATGCTATCAACTCTCATCTGTTGGGCAAAAACAACGCCAACAGCACTGTGTCGAAGGGCAGTAGTGCACCAGCCGAACATCTCTGCAGCACACCGGCTGAGAAGATGGCTGAGAAGGTATCAAGTTTATGTTAAATGTTACCTGTTTTTCTTTCCCTAATGTGTTCTGCTAGTTTTAGAACCCAGCAACTGAACAATGTTTTTTCTTTATTCAATTTACTTGCTCTAGGTGTTGAAGGTTTTGAATCCAATCTCTTGTTCAGAAAGCAAGGCAGAACCTGCGCTCAGTGACTCCACATCCCCGAACTTTCTGAGCAGCAAGAAAAGCATCGGCAGGTTTCACCCTTACACCCGCTACGAGAACATAACCTTCAACTGCTGCGAACGATGCACTGGCGACATTATAGTTCTATAGGTCATCCTCATTTGATACAGAGAGGATTAGCCTTTTTTTATATTTTAAAAAATAAAGATGGCAAGCTGGAGCTGTAGCAGAAACCATGACTGTTTATTTGCTGTCATTTCAGTTTAATAGTTTTAAATGTGTTGCTTAACTTATTAAGCTCTTGGAAAACACCAAACACTAGTCTGGAATTAAGAAAGCATTTCAACTCCATTGTGGACTGATATGTAAATCATGTTTACCGCTGAGATGTGAGATCAGAGTCCAGTGCTACACTGGACGAGTTTATTAGTTCTAATGGAACGCATTACTCATGTGCATAGTGTTTTTATTTAACCAGTTTCTACTTTCATACTGCAGAGAATAATTAGGTAGTAACACAGATGACAGGAAGTCAGACATTAAAGAAGCATAGTTGCCTCTTTTAATTCAGGAGGGTTTTTTTCCCATTTATGGTGCTTTTTTCACTTCAGGAATATATTTTATTTTATGTACTGTAAACGCATTGGTGAAAGTGAATTGACAGTACTGTGATAAGTATTGTGCAGTTTTGTTTGAAAAGAAAACCCTGCTTGAATTTTACCAGTGTGAGATTCTATTTTCATCTTTTTTTTTGTTGTTGCTTAGAATATACTATGAAGCTACTTACATGATACAGTATTTAAGAACAAAACAGACAGGCTCTATATATTGTATTTCATCTGTATAGAAAACTTTACAGTAATGGGTATACTTTTATTTGCTCTAAAACTGTCAAAATGTTATTTAAGCATCTTGTTTTCTGTCAGATTAAAATAAAGACCAAAGAAGTTTCTACCTTTTAAAGAAATCATATTCTTGTCATTTGTACAGACAAAACTGATCTTTGTTTTCACCCAGGGTCACCCAGTGTGAAAACAAAGTGGATATTAGAACAATTTCCACACCACTTCTTACATTGATACTTTCTAACACACACTAGTTATTTTCTGTTACTCATGCCGCCACATCCTTGGCTTGTTTCCTGTTTTTCTTGCTTCCATCTGGCTTTTTAACGATGTACGCACTTTAGTTGCAGCTGGAGAAATGTTTCTGGTGCCGTTCTGTTCAGTCATTCCATCATGATTGGATTTATAAACCGTCTGGTTCTTAAATGTTTGCCCAGTGTCTTTTGCCTCAGACCTCATGAACACATCACCACTCATTCTCGGAGCGCGTTTTTTCACAATTCTGGGGCTGTCATTTGAAACCGCTGTTTGTGTCTGCCGTTGATAGAAGCCATCGTGCTTCCGCTGTGGCACAAACTGTAAGGCTTCTTCCCATTTCCCCGTGTCTTTGATTGTCAGCATGATGCGAATCATCTGGTCCAGAGTCAAATTTTTGGCTCCCATTTCCCAACAAAGAAACTCATCAAGGGGTAAGCGAGCTGTTGCTAGTTTCAGGCGCTTGGCATTGGCTAGTGACACTCCGCACTGGATGGACTTGTCCACCATGGCTCCGATGATGTAGACCTTGGAGTGATCGAAGCTGCGCAGGACGTTGGGAGAGTCTGCAGTGAGGTAAACGAGCTGTTCCCTGGGGAACATATCGATATAATGTTGTTCAGTGCTGGTGATGAGCAAGCGGTCCCAGGCCTCTGTGCCGTAACGCTTAATTAGCTCCTTCTTGTAGAGGCTGTCTGGCTGCAGGTTGCAAAAGTGAAGGTGAAAGGGGTCTGTTGCACGCCGGTTCCACGCTTCCACCTCCATCAGCTGAGACACTGTGTTCTCTATCTCCCGCCTGGACATGTTGGATGCATAGCTCAAGTCAAAAACAATTGGTTGACCAAACCGCATTGCCTGAGCGGTCCTCCAGGCCAACAGTTTGTCCAGGCTGCGGTCCCAGAACTGGAGAAACATTGTGTTTTTTAGTTTGCGTCCATCTTGATTGCCTTCTTCGTCTTCTTCACTGTTTTCCAACTCCTTTCTCTGCTTCATTGAAGCCTCTTTGTCAGCCTTTTTCTTCTGCTGCTTCTCCTTGCGGATCTGTTTGTAACCCTCCTTGACAGCCAGGTACTTCAGGTACTTTTTACGGGAGGACTTGGTGGTGAGGCCTGCCAGCGTCCACAAGTCCTCCTCGGTCATTTCCTGAGGTACCAGTCTCCCAGCTTGACGCCACATGGAAACCAGTTCACGAGTTGCCTCCAATGAGGAGCTGTCCTTCACATCATCACCTGTACTGTCTGTGTCACCATCATCATCCTCCTCGGCTTCCACTCCACGAGAAAGTTTTTGCTCCTGAAATGCAGCTTGTGACGTCATTACAGACTTCCATCTGTCAAGATCTAGTGCTTCTTTTTCCTCGGATAGGACTTCTTTAATGTCGAGGCCATCCTTCTTCACAGTGTGACCTGTGCAGAAGTGACTGACGAGGATGGACTCTCTGTAAGGTCTGGTAGCAAAGGCTGGTTTGTTCGTGGATGTCAAAAATGTTCTTTTCAACAGCAAATTGCAGCATGTGGCTGAGAAGAGTCGCAGCATTGTGACAAAAACAGTTCACTCCCTCAACCGGACCGTCAAACTTAGCTTCCTTTGCACGACCCAATAAATATCATTGGCGATATTATTTACCGCTCGTTTTTCATCAAATGATCACGACAAGAATATTCATTCTGTTATACCTCATGGAATGAGAAATCCTCGTCCACACGTGTTTTTCAGACTTCCTTCAAGAAAATTTGATGGAAGGTCACGTTGTTACACGGTGTCACGTCATATTGTGTCGTACTAAAACGTGAGAAACGTTTCAGTTAAAGGAGAGAATAAAATCATATGTTTATCAAAGTAAGATGTTGCCTTATGAAAAGAAACCCAATTTATAACTATTGTTGAAAACTAAAACTGTTTAATATAATGCTTAAAGATATTTGAATTACGTTTCACGTTTCTAGCGGGTAACTTAACCGGGTTTCCACAACAACAAAATGACGCAACTTCCTGCTTTTGCCGACAGCAGGGAAGCTAACGTGTTAGCATCCGAAAATGAGCTTCTTCTTACCAAAATTATCAACCAAAAGAGACATCGACGAAGTTATCAAAGGCGTGGCGGAGAAGGTTTTGGTGCTGAGGTTCGGGAGAGACGATGACTCGGTTTGTCTCCAGCTCGACGAGATAGTAAGTGACTTTAACGACAAAACATCTGATCAGAAAATGCCTCTTGTTCGTAATTCCCTCACCTCCCGTGTCGTTGCAGCTGTCAAAAACCGCACACGATTTGAGTAACATGGCGTCCATCTATATCGTCGATGTGGACAAATCTCCCATTTACACGAGATACTTTGACATCAGCTACATCCCATCCACTGTCTTCTTTTTCAACGGGCAGCACATGAAAGTTGATTATGGGTAAGTTCATGAAACACATTTAATCAAGACGCTTTTTACATCGAACGTTGGTAACAATTAGATCAACAATTTAATTAACAGCTAAGTTAAATCGACACAGAAGTCGTCATTATGAAGAATTTCAAATACATTTTGAGCACTTTCCAAACACCAAACGGACAGAACAAAGTCAGTTAAAACAGATAAAACAATGAGGGGAAAAAAAGACAACTACCTTTTATTAATAAGTAGTTGTAAGAGAAAAAAATAAACACCAATATGAAAAAGGTAAAATTTTAGTTTGAACAAAAATCTGCATTTAATTTAGAGAATTTATAATAAGGTTATTAAAAACTGCAACAAATAAAAAATTAGTAGGGGATGTAAAAAGAAAATGCAAATCAATTTATAGACAGATTAAAAGTACAGTTAGCTGCAGGTATAATGAACTTAAAATAAGGGAATTATTTAAGAATCAATCTTTTCAACTCCAAAAATGTATCCAAACCAATAATAAAATTCAGAAAAGCTGAAATCTTTAATTTCTACTCAAACAAGTTAAAACTATGGATATTGGCTTTACGAGAAAACTCTCTAATTTTACATTATTTCCTGGTCATTGCTGTTTTCTTTAAATTGTGAGAATATTTCACAGCAAATATACTCACCAGCAACTATAGCAGGCACACCTGCTCAGTTGAAAATCATCCAGTCACATTACAGCAGTGTAATGCATTTACCCATTCTGTACCACTGATCAACCAAAATTAGGGATACTATATTGTTATTATAGAACAAAATAAAGGCAGTGCTAAAGGCAGCCAAATACTAGTGAGGTGTGCCTCATGAAGTGACAAGTGAGTATGCTTTGCTCATATATATATATATATATATATATATATATATATATATATATATATATATATATATATATATATATATATATATATATAGCTACTTTACAGTGGTATTTATTATGTGTTTTTAATGTTCTTTCAGGTCTCCAGATCACACTAAATTTGTTGGCAGCTTTAAAACCAAGCAGGACTTCATCGACCTAATCGAGGTGATTTACAGAGGAGCCATGAGGGGGAAAATGATAGTCCAGAGTCCAATAGATCCTCAGAATATTCCGAAATATGACCTTCTCTACCATGGGATTTAGCATCTTCACGAATGTCTCTGTCAAAACTACATCAAAGTGACATGTATTTTTATTGACTAAGAAAATTGCCAAATTCTCCTGGCATTTAGCCACCTAGAAGTTGTGTGAAGAAGTTTTAAAAAAAGTGTTCTCGATTTGAAACCTTATTCTTGGAAAAGAAAAATCGACAGTGTGTTCTTTATGCTTATTTTATTTAAGACTTTTTTTTTTCAACTATAAATTAACATGTATTTTGTAAGTAACAACATCATTTTGTTTGTGGATGACCTTAGAGGCAGAAATTATGTTTCCCATGGAAAACTGCCACATACCTGCTGGAGAAACCGATGTTTATGTGAAATGTCAAAACCTTCCTCTGACAATAAAACCAAAAGCACCTCCAAAGTCCTGTCTTTTTGCTGATTGTCTTATTGTTTTTCATAAAATGTTGGGTTCAAAGCTAGTTAAAGGTGTGAGGGTTTGCACGAGTGGTTGATTAACTTTTCTTCTGAATGCATCAAGTGTCAGCAAGTTGGATCATTCATAGACTGTATATTAGACCCATGCTCAACACAAATTACTAGTTTTATCAAAAAAAAACGTGCATGATGTTCAAAGATGTTGATATGACATTTGGTCATTTTGAATAAATGCATTAAGTTCAATTATCGACTTAGCTAATTCTCATTATTAGAAACCTGGAAGACCGAATTACACTTAATTTCTCATTTGAAAAAAGTTAAAATTTAATTTCACTTCACCTATTTATCAGATAAAAGCTTTTAAAAAGGGAATTTAAATGTCAAACGAGTTCAATATTTTAACAACTATGACATTTCACAAGTTTCTGTTTTCAAATATGTCGCTTATTTGATCCTTGAGGCTACTCAAGGAAATTCCGAATGTGCCAAAGAATCACTCTGCAGAATTTTTCAGAAAAGTGATCGAAATTAAAGCTCCTCTTATTTTGAAAGTCACTTTGAACAGGAAGTGTCTACCTCATCTTGGCGGAAGTATTTTGCGCAGAAATGGCAGCGACCTTGCTCAGCGTGCGGCGTTCCTAAAACAGTATTTTGCTAGTATTTCTAAAATGCCGATGTATGAATCAAACGAAATAAAAATTACTGTTTTTTAGTATCGGTTTGTACAAAATGATCTCCCTCGTTAAAGCTGCTGTCGGCGGCCTGGAGGTCATCTGCAGAACTCACGGTCTCCAGCAAGGTAATGAGGCTTGTGTTAGCAATGATGCATTTGGACACTTGGGAATTCTCAGTTACCGATTAACAAATGAAGATGAACATACGAAGCACACAATT